GAAAAGCAAGTAATATAGTCTATTGTTATTGCAAATACATGATTGCTTAATCGACAATCCCACCAGAGAATGTGATATGAGAAAATGCCTGATCGTCCCTGAAATTAACATCTGCCTTGTGACCCAAGGGCATTCCTGGCAATGTAGCGTAGTATTTAACGTATCTAGATTATGCGCTGCACTGTCAAGGTTCGAGTCTCACTGGTGGTCCTGAGCCGACCAGTTCAGACGAGGTCGAAACTGCAGTTTATTTCGGATTACACTACCTGTTCGGAAACTAGGCAATGTGAAATTCATTGAAAGCGTAGTCTACTCATATGATTGATAAAAAATTCAACTACCAATCTCTTCAACGCCATAGAGTGAGTACATCTCATATAGGTGATATACTGATGGTCTCGGAAACCTTCTTATTGACGTAAAAATAACTTTACAGAAGTTCATGGGCCACAATCACTTTTAACACTGAAATTATTCATTTTATTAAAATCTTCGTATTGTTTTTTCTCTTTTAGTCTCTGTGATCAGATTGTTTGTTACATTCTGATTTTGTATGAGAACGTTTGAAGAGGAGAGGCAAAGAACAGTCCAGGCAGAAGAAAGCCCATGATCGGCCTTAAGTCGTGAAACCTGCATGCCTGATTGTCGGTGTGAGTATATCCAGGCTTGGAGTACCATCCGACTCGTGTAAAACCAATACTTGGGAGGCTGATTTCGACCTGGCATTAAGTCAAGCTAGGTGCTCAGCCTAACTACACCGACAGATGAACAGATTTAATTCAGTTGTTGATATGATTTGTCGTGATTTAACCATTATTGCGCATTATTCATTAATTATGAATGCCTATCCTCATGACTACGGACATAAGCCATGCTATGTTGGAATGAGTCTGTTTATTTTCAAAGTGGCTTGTGCCGATCCACTTGCGACAGTGAATCAGACATTTAACTCTAGGTCCATGTAGGATAGATTTGGAGTCTGATTTATACACAATTGCAGTGACATCAGGCTCAAATAAAAATTCAAAGCGCATGTTCACTTCAAACGTTGCATCTCCCATAGTTGAGGTAATATTCACTTGTTGATTGACAATTTGGCGTAGGGCAGAGGTAAAAGTGTCACGATGCAGACCTCAGTTGCCAGATCTGGCAAGTAGAGTGACATTTACTTGAAGCATATATTGTCTGGCCAGAGTAAGATGTAAGAGCCCCTTCACAAGTTCCAAAGCGTAATTAATAACAACTGTATACTCCTGCCAATTTGCGAATAAGACCATCAGTTCTTCAATAGCAAAACATGAAAACTACGAAGACAGCATATTTTTTATGTAGCCTCCAGGAATATTGCACCAAATAAGTACAGATTATCTGTCTGGCCCGCCACAACTGGAGGTAGGCATTGCTACACCTCGAGATTGCAGAGGCGAGCCGTTACCGATAGACCAACCAGGCAGGCCATGAATTTATCGGTTAATTGGGCATATTACCTGGTTCTAACTACTCCATCAGACAGGCAAGTCCAGACCAAGCCAAGCCCTTATGTACTCCGATAAGCAGTAAGATAAATGACACCGAGTGCTAGCCAAATGGTGCTACAGCAATTAGTCTCCAAAATGATGCGTATGAAAAATCTTTCTATACTGTGGAAAAGCCCAAAGCTGCTTTTGGACTGCGTTCATTCAGGCGCCAAAAAGACAGGACAAGAAGGCAAGTTAACTAAAGAGCTGCTAGCATAAAGTATTTATAAGGAAGAATTCATGCTCACAATAGTATAGGCATTTAAAAAAAGAATTGTCTGCAGGCCATTTTTGAGAGTTTTAAAGTCATTTCAGCCAAACCATGCCTTTGTTTGAGATATAACGAAGAAAATAGCAAACAGCGTGCTCATTAAATGCATAATAATTAAAAGTAATCAACTCCATTCGGGAGATAGTAATCTGCCATATGGAGAAAAGCAGGATCTTAAGGAATCTCCCTGAATTTCACTTTAACAAGCAGGTTGAAAGGACTCGTAGATTGGCCTCATCTGAAACCGAAGGAGTTGTGATTGCTGGATGGTGCGAAGAAGACTTCAGCACACCGTCCTGTAAACCCGATGAATCTATGCAGAGTCTTCGCCTTTATCGCAATCACAGACATCGACATAACCACAAGCCATTATTCTCAAAAAAAATCACCAAAACACTAAACCGAGAACGTCTGTCACGGCGAGAGAGACGAATGCCCAGCGCAGATTGATCGGGGTAACATGACAATAAGCTGAAGTCTTCTTCGCACTCTCCTTCAGTCTGTAGTAAGGCCAATTTACGATTATCTTCCACCCGCCTTTTAAAACAAAAATAAAGGTAAACCAACAACGATCTGCCATGTCGACAGGATGAATGTAAACCAATTCAAAAGGTGAATATGGAGACAAAGGGAGGCTAAAGTACATACTCATTGTTAGCCCATCTGATATGCTGAATGCGTCCTGATCCACCGTTGATGCGTCCAGTTCGGAGTCACGCTTCTCTAGTCCATCATTCAATCGGATCTGGGTGGCTGCTCTCACGAGCCGCCGTAATGAATTTTGGTGTCGGCCGAACACACCATCAGCGCCGATTCCATGGGCAGTATTGGGGGCGATAGGACCTGCAGACGTACCTGAAAACGAGCCAGACGGTCCCGAATTGGAGAGATAGAAAAGCACATTCATCGAGGAACGCCGCTTGCACCGACGCAAAGACGAATGGGTCCGAAAAGGCAGCCAGTTCTCAGATTTCAAGCGTGAGAGCCAACTAATGGTTTCAGACTGCTGCTTTGTTCTGATTGGTGATTCTGGGAGCCCATCGAAATTAGCCTTCGTTATTCCCGAAGTCAGCGGAACCTGGCGCTGCTGCGATTTGCTACTTGCTAAGTTCCTGTTGGCTAGTCGAGTAAAGAGAGCACTGGGAACTGTGGGTGATTTGAATCCGAGGCTAAAATTCTGAGTGGTGCCTATACCAGAGCGACGGACGAACCCGTTCGGCCAATTTTTAGACTGAAACAGTGAGGAGTGGGTTAAAAGTGTAAGATAAATATAGTTTTTGGATATGCTGTATGTAAGGTCAACGATCTGATAAAAAAAAAAAAAATAAATACTGAATTATGAAAAATCCCTTAGTGATTTGTTGTGATATGACTTTCCATTTCCTCACCGGAAACTGAAGGAGAATTCTCACATAATGAAGACTGTTACATTGTGTGAACAAGTCTTCGGTTCACCGTTCTATCACTCCGATGGATCAGTGCTAAGCCTTCGTCTGTACTGTAGCAGACACCTTCAGAGTGAGAATTCATACTTTACACTAGAGATTCATACGTTAGTTTATTTACGTAAGGAAGCAGCTGCCACGACATCCACTTCCTATTAATGAATAACCATCACTCACATGCAAACACGTATAGTAAGTTTGAGGTCGTCAACTAAATCACGAGATCTCTCATTAAAATCGTAAGAAATGATCTATAAATAGTGATTAGGATTGCAGCCGTCCACCTTTTCTTTTGGCTGTGCGTAATTTTTGCTCTATTTCTTAAAATATGGATTCTTGCACGGGTTCATCGGGGTCGCAGGATTTCTTAGGACAATCTAATCGTTTGCACTCCAAGGCAATCACCATTCGGCTACCGATGAGACTATTTTATGAATCTTTCACAATTAAATTTTTCTTTAAAAAATTCGAATATGAGCATTAATACATAGCCGCCTATGCTAATTAAACTGTATAGCTCATAGAGGTTGTTTGACCTTGTTTTCGCAACATGGTCATATTGGTAGGAAGACTTAGAGGA